AATGAAAATATTCTTTTTGTAGGTTTCATAACAGTATATAGTTATACATAATTGTAAATATAACAATACTCAAAATCGGATGTAGAGTTATTGGATTTGGTCTTTGTGATTAGCATATCTCTTTAATATCTATCTTAACATATATTTTAATAGAGATAGATAGTTAATTAATTACCCATTAACTTTTCAACCATTTTTAGAAAAAAATAAAAAAATTAAAACCACAAAAACATATCCTACAAGGCTACAACAAATATGAGTTTTACCAATGCCTGTTGAATAATATATATCATGTGCAACATAGAATATAATCTTTTTCAAATGGAAAAAGTAATTATTTGCAACAATACATAATTTTATTTTATTTTTATAACCGGGTGGTGTCCGAGTTTTTACCATCCGACTAATCTCTCAGGATGAGTGTAGCTAATGAATAATTCACTCACCGGATTTTCTAATAGACCAAAAACATTGCACCACTTCGACTGGCCAAATGGAGGTGCAAGTGTTTCTAGTGGAAATCAAACTCAGGTTGGAAGGCTTTACCTTTTTTTCTCCAAGCTTTTTTATCACTAACTAAACTGGAGTTTTTTAAGAACCATCATTGGGATGATTTGTTGCTTTAAAATGAGTATAAATAAATCTCGACACTCAAACCTTCATACCCTATAAATATCCTACACATTTGGCCGAGTCAAACACTCTTCCGAATTTTAGATTTCTGACAACGGCCTTAGAAATATATACTAATCGCATTGAAACTAATGGAGAGTCAAGAGGGGTAAGAAAATGTTTTGAGATGGGAAGATATGAATAGAGACATACTTTCCAACATTTTTAAGAAGCTCGACGTAGTGGACGTTATCATGGGAGCATCACAAGTGTGCATCACTGGGTTCCTTGCCTCTCACGATAGAACTATATGGAACACCATCAAACTCAACGATCCTGATTCAATCCTCTTAGATTACCCCCATGGACAACATATGCAGGATAACGATGGAGAAAAACAGCAAGAGTACCACCTTAGGAAGATCTTGGTTGAGCTCAACAAATTTGGTCGTACTGTCCCGATAAACTTTTTTTTCAACATGCGTTGCAATATACTAGAAGAGGATCTCGCGATCATTTCTAAAAGGTAAAACTATGTCCATTCTTACTATTGAATTATCCCTACAAGAAAAATTATAAAATCAGATAAGTCTAATCTCATAATTATATCCTCTCTTTTTTTTTTGTTAAGGATGCCAAACATTAGAAAACTTGCGTTGCCAATAATGAAACCTCTAGCTCTTCATTCAATTCAGTCAGCCTTTAGTAAATGGAAGAATCTCGAGACGTTGATTATTTCACCATTTACATTGCGAGATAAAGCCTTTAGCCTTGAGCTTAAATCCATCGGAGACAACTGTAGAAATCTTACGACCATGAAATTTCATTGTTCACTGTACAAAGAGTTAGCCAAAATAATTGTTTTGTAACTTTCCGAGCCTCGAGAGACTGAGTTTTCGATGCACTTATGTTTGTAAAGAATCAGCTATGTCGCTCATCATCGGCCTTCCGAACCTCAAGATCCTTAATCTCTCACATTGTATATTCACGCAACTACAAAGAGACGATGGGACAAATGTAGTGTCAGGAATGAAAAACCTAAGGAAGAACTTCTAAAAACGGGCACTCAAAAGCTTGAAAAATTCTGGTGTGTTGTCCAGAGGAGTGCACAATTTGCCAAGATATGTGGAAATATTCAATTTTTTCCCCAAGTCGTAAGCCTAAGTATAACAACTTTTGGGAAAAAAAAGCAGTGGAAAACTGATGAAATAAAAGAATTTGAGTTTTGAATAAAAAAATTTGGTTTACTGATTTCCAAATATACCTTTTATCAAATTTTTAATTGTAAAATTTTAGTCGCAGTGAATAATTTCGTTTATCGCCAGCGTTTTTCATTAGTACCCTATATATCAATCTACTAACGGTACATTCCAAAGGATCATTTTGTTAGATGACAATACAAACGACATAATTTGCCCCTGAAAAAAACACTATGACAAATTTGTTTTAAAAAAATGTGTTTTTTCTTGTGTGTAGTCCAATCAAATATGCAGACATTAATGATATTTACACATAAAGAAATGTGTACTGAGATAAAAAAAAAATAATCAATTTCTATCACTTACAACGAGACGCACAGGTCTCTTGTTTAGATTCAAGGACCATAGAAATTTATGAATCACGCATTAGTTGTTTACGATTTTGTCATATGTTATTTTTACAAGTAATTGTGACTATCCATATTGGTTATTTTAATGCATATAATTTAATTTTGAATTGGTTTCGGTAGGAGGATTGACGACACCCTACACATCATTGAGACATGAAGAAATGGAGGCATTAATCGACGACCTTGTATTAACCTATATCTAAAAGTGAAAAACCCCTTTTGGTGGATATTCTCTTACACTAAAAGAGTGTGCCATTTGGCACGTGCGGTAAAAGAACTACACAGTTGTGGGCCGGGCCATGGGTTTGTGAAGTCGTGTACGGAGAATCTAGAAGATTTGACTAATACATTAAAAAAAAAAAAAAGGCTACACTAATTCATAAAAATAATACTAACATATATACTGTATTTATATTTGTTCTTTTGAACTTTAGTAATGCGAGTTGTTATCTGGTTTATGAGCTATTATTAGGTTTCGGTCCATAGAATCTATTGAGTCTTAACTGTTTTCTTTTGTTGATAAAAAGCTGTTTTTTTTTTTTTGGATGAGGGTTTGATGAGAAACGATGTGGCGTCTTTCGAGTGGAGCACAATAAGACAATCAGAGGAAAGATAAATAGTATCCAAATGCATCGGTTAGAACTTGGAATCCAAGAATATTACACGTAACACACGTAGATCGGAGCAGTTATGTGGGTCCAAAACACTAAATATGTGGGTGATGTATGACTTCTGAGTCATGACCGCGTTTCTTTAGATTTTAGTTTGTTATCAAATACAGTTAGTTAATCTTTTGGGGAAATAACCTATTTAGCAAAAAAAAGAAAAGAAAATAATAAACGAATCTTATTACTAAGCTTCACGGTTATTTTGGTCGATCACACAAATGATTATATGTTTCCATATTTTTTAATTTTTTTTAGCTCATGGAACCATTTAAATAGGTTTAAGCAAATTGGTCACATTTTGTTAAACCTCAACATTTTCATTTATAATGAATATTTATCATTTGGTTGTTGGTTAGATATTATTACTAAGCTAATTCTTTTGTTCAAACTTTTAATTAAAGAAGATTCGATGGTAATATTTTTATTTAAAATTTGATTGTACAAGTTTTAACATTTTTGTCTTTTTAATTAAAATGTATTATATTTCTCTTTTCCTTTGTTCCCTTTTAATTAAAAGTTTTAAATTTCGTATAACAATATTTGTACATTTCTACCTTTTAACCGGGGAAGAGAACTCGTTTGTAATAAACGCAAGATTCCAGCCTTGGGAATGATTGTAATACATTCAATTATCGATAACCAATGAGGCACCTAATTCATGTAAACAAGATAACCCAATATTTCATTTCCAATTCCAAAACGCCAAGACATGATTCTGACTTTTGTAAGAAGAACAAGTAACAAACGAGTCATGACTTATTTGCTGATCTCCCACTAGCTGATCCAGTATAACACAACCGTCATAAGCTGATCCAAAACTCTCATGTGCATCTCTTTTAACATGTTTAGCTAATAGATGTCATGCTTAATGCTTGTTCTTCCATAATCTGTCCGCAACCATCTGTTTTGAACACCCGACACAACAATCCACCAGGTTCCCATATATGGTTAGCTTTTGTACTCTCATATGCATTGTATCGCACAGTTGGTGTGCGATACAATGAGTATTGATTCCTGTCGATTTATGAGCCGTATGGAGTCGCGATGCAGAACCTGGACTGACTTTGCTTCCTTCTCTAGGCTTGGTTCTTTGTGACCGGAGGAGGTTTAATTAGCGGTGGTGAAGTATTAATCAATCGATTCTATTTCTTGAAACGTATTAATCATAAAAATCAAAGCGGATTTGCTGCAATTCAGAGGTTTAATTAGTGGTGTTGAATTCGACGAAACTGGTGGCGTCGTCTGAATGATCGGCGGAGATGGACTGGATTCGTGGGGCTTCAAAGCTTCGAAGCGTTTGCGCTCCTCTGCCTTGAGAGATGAACAAGATTTTTTTTTTTTTCCCTTGAACAGATGAAGAAG